GAAACTTATTTTTGATATTATTGTACTCTTTAGAGGCTCTATAGTTACACTTGTAGGGGTTGTATTAGAATTTGATTATAGATATTATTTTGCAAGAATACTATAGAATTATCATTTGTGTTGGAATTATAAAGTATTAACTATTATGTTATAATATTGTAAATTACAAATGATGTTTGATGTGTTACGGTTTTGAGGATTATAGTTTAGATATTCGAGACTTACTTAAGTCAAGACGAGTCTCTTGGTTTTCTCGATTTTCGCATCGATGATGGCTTACTTCGAGGGTCGTGACACCATTGAGTCAAAATGCATTAATTCACCTAACATATTCTCACTTTTATAAAATTATAATTACTAAAAGTACTTAAACTAACTTAAACAAACTAATGTAAAAAAAAATTGATACAATCAATTCAACTAACGATCATCACTTTAACAAAAAAGAGAGAGGGAGACGAGAGAGAGCGAAAAAAAACCATATACCTTTCTTGTTATATCATAACAACCAACATTCACAATAATTGTTCGTGCCTTAAAATTTTCAATAAACGCAATTAATGATGTAATTAGAAACCTAAGAACATAAAAAAGACTCACCACATTATATAAAGAATTTACCCAATGTTTTTTTAGAACTAGCATCAGGACTTGGTTATTTATTTATTAGTTTGTATTGTATCCTATTCTAATATTGTTCTTCAAAAGTAATATATATATATATATATATATATATAAGAGGGTTATTGATTGTTATATTATATTATTATTTTTTGGTCATATTTTTTTTGAAAATATATTTAGTTTTTTATATATATATAAAATAGATTACTTTAAAAATAAAATATCAATTAAAGTTGACTAGACAAATATTTCGAGATAGATAAACAATAAAAAGTTAAAAAAATCTTTTTAAAATGAAGAGAGTAATATTTATATCAGATAAGAAGAGCATAAAAATAAAGGTTGGAGAATAAGGTTTCATATCAGAGGAAAAAATTTGTATCATTTTATTCGCATTCTAACTTCCTACTTTGGGTACTAATCAAAGCAGTGTCTTAGGATTTTACCTTGATATTCATATATCTCTACAAAATATGAAAAGAATTTGAAATTTTACTTATAAAACGGACACATTTCGTACATTTGGTGGCTTAGTTGGAGAAGCCTTCTTTATTTTGGAGAGAAAATTAAATAAAGAAACTATATATATATATATAGAGAGAGAGAGAGAGAGATGGTCTACTTTTTGATCATATAAACTTCTTTCTTTTTCACTTATTATTAATTCGAAAAAAGGAGAAAAAAGATTTTGAAAATAGAGATAGACAAAAAATAAAAATAAATTTTCTTTTTTTACAATTAGATAAATTAGTGACGGATATCTAAATTATTCCTATAATTTGATTTGAAACTATAGAACTCTAAATTTGGTCATATAATAATATTTTAATGATCCAAAACAAATTAACAAGAATGTTAAAATAAACCAAATACTTTGTGAGTATATTCATAAAATCATGTGAATATAATGCAATTCAAATCTTAAATTTGCGCTATCCATATTTACTTATTTATTTTATTAAACCTTTTAACGAATAATATTTTTTTGGCTTTATAAAAATCAAATTGGTAATTAAAAAAAGAGTAGATTATTAATTAGTTCTTGTTGTTTTAAAAATATATTATTTAATTCTTATAATTTAAATTTTTGTTGTAATTTAATCATTTTTATTTTTAATTTATTTTAATTTTTTGTTATATAAATAGAGAAAAAAATAAGTAAAAAAATGAAAAAGATTGATGAGAAAAGATAACATTTTTTGAAATAAAAATAATACTGAATTAATCATGATCAACATTAGTAAAAAGATTAAATAATTAATTTTTAAAACAAAGATGATTAATTAATTTATTTCTTAAAACTAAATGGACTAATATATAATTTACTCTAAAATCTTACGACGAGAAAACTGAGGGTTAGCCTATAAAAGCACTAATCTTTCCCGCAGACGCTGCTTTAGAACGACTCTCTATCTTTCTCTCTCTCTCTCTAATGTATTGAAACACCATGCTCTACTTTCTCCAACTTAAAGTTAGCATCTAATTCTAATTTCGAGGGCACTGGAACTGAAGAAAGATCGATGATGATGATGATGATGATGGCTGCACCAAAACGAAGTTCAGCAGCAGCTCGTATTGGGTTCCATTTTCAACTAATGGGTATGATTCTATTGTCTAGCAACCACTTCAACTCCATTTCTACTTCTTCTTTTTCTTCTTCTACCACTACTTCTATAGATAATCACAAAAATGCTTCCTTTAGTAACATTGATGATGCCCTTTCTTCCTTCCATCGCATGCTTCGTAGGAGTCCTCGGCCTTCTATCTTCGAATTCAGTAAATTATTGTCTTCTATTGTTAGAATGAGACATTATGAGACTGTGGTTTCTCTGTCCAAACAAATGGAATTAGATGGAATCTCTCATAATGATTATACCTTTACCATGTTGATTAACTGCTTCTGTCACTTACATCGTGTTGATTATGGCCTCTCTGTATTCGCCAAAATCATTAAATTTGGTTTTCAACCCTGTATTGTCGCATTTAACATTTTAATCAATGGGCTGTCTAAAGTGGGTAAATTTGCTCAAGCTGTGGAATTCTTTGATGAGATGCTGGCAAGAGGGTTTAAACCTGATGTCCACACTTATAGTATTATTATCCATTGTTTATGTAAGGTTGGGAAAACCACTGTGGCTACTGGGTTGCTTAAAGAAATGGAAGAGGCTGGTTGCGGGCCAAATGCTGTCACATACAATACTCTTATCAACGGTTTATGTATGACTGGGGAAACCACTGTGGCTGCTGGACTGCTTAAGAAAATGGAAGAGGCAGGTTGCGAGCCAGATGTTTTGACATACAGTACCATTATCAATGGTTTATGTAAGACTGGGGAAACCACTGCAGCTATTGCATTGCTTAAGAAAATGGAAGAGGCAGGTTGCGAGCCAGATGTTGTGACATACAATACCATTATCAGTGGTTTATGTAAGTCTGGGGAAACCGCTGCAGCTATTGCATTGCTTAAGCAAATGGAAGAGGCAGGTTGCGACCCAGATGTTTTTACATACAATACTATTATCAACTGTTTATTTAAGATTGGGAAAACCACCGTGGCCGCTGTACTGCTCAAGAAAATGGAAGAGACAGGTTGCAAGCCTAATGTGGTGACATACAACACATTGATGCATGGATACTGCTTGCGAGGGGAAGTTGTTGAAGCTAAAGAGGTATTCAATACGATGATAAGCAAGGGTTGTATACCTGATGTTTTTAGTTATAACATCTTAATCAATGGATACTGCTCGCGAGGGGAACTTGTTGAAGCTAGAGAGGTATTCAATATGATGATAAGCAAGGGTTGTATACTTCATGCTTTTAGTTATAACATCTTAATCAATGGATACTGTAAGGCCGAAAGGTTAGATCAGGCAAAAAGCCTTTTTGATGAAATGACTCATCAAGGCCTCATTCCAGACACCTTCAGTTACAACACTCTGATTAGTGGCATGTGCCAAGCAGGGAGACTCCGAGAAGCACAAGAGCTTTACAAGAATATGCATGCTAATGGCAACCTCCCAGATTTATTTACTTACTCAATTTTGCTTGATGGCTTCTGCAAGCGAGGGTTTCTTGATCATGCATTGAGATTGTTTCGGGAAATGCAAAATAGTTATCTGAAGCCTAATCTGGTGATCTATCATATCCTGATTCCTGCCATGTGCAACTCTGGAAAGCTTAACGAAGCAAGGAAACTATTTTCAGAACTCCTTGCCAAAGGGTTGCAGCCTGATGCTTGGCTATATAGTACAATAATAAATGGACTTTGCAAAGAAGGATTGCTGGGTGAAGCATACAAAGCTTTTCGAAATATGGAAAAGGATGGCTGCCCTCCAAATGAATGTTCTTATAATGTTATTATCCGAGGATTTCTCCACAACAAGAATGATTCAGGGGCACTACAACTTATTCATGAAATGAGAGACAGAGGTTTCGTTCCAGATGTGGGCACCTCAGTCTTGGTGGGTAATCTGTTATCTAATGAAGGCTATGTTATTCTGACGGAGTAATTAAGGTGATGTAAAGTTCGTCGAGGTGAAAAGTTAATGTAAGTTTTTCATGCTCCTAATTCATGTGGCAATTATTAAGTAGCCTTTTTTCACCTTGGAAGTTACTATTAGTTCCATCTTGTCAAAATCTGGACAACGACACAAATTACTTTGTTTTTTTTTCCGCCAATCATAATAGTCATTAGCTACCTGTTTTGGACTTTTTAGAGTACGTACCGCTCCTTCTTCCTTCTTGAGTTTCTGTCGAAGCGCCTTCCTTTTCAAAATCTGTAGCTGGGGAATCTGTTATCAGTTTGTGCTTTTAACCTCACAAATGCACAGCTAAGATTGTCCGTGGATATTTCTTTTGCTTCACTTAATATTTTCCTACATTTTATCTCTTTGTCCATTTTGTCTTGTAACAGCTTGTAATGTGGGACTCGTTAAAATCTTACTTGAGTTACTCGTGATTGAGTTTATGTTTGCGGAAGGTTTTGCTAAACAACAAATAATTCCCTTTTGTCCCTTGTTTTGTCAATGTTACCGCTGCAGGAATCCAAACCCAAATTATTTAAGGGATAGACTATAACAATGTGCATAATGTGTGGGTTTGACAATTTTGATTTTTGGTTCTCTTACATGAAGCCAGTTGTTGCATTTGGCTACCTACTTTGTTGTATAGAGTTGTGAATTTCTCAGCTAATCTCTCTGAATTTTCATTTTGGAAATATTTTGCAGTAGATGCCACTGGACTCTTGGCGTCAACCATGCAGGTAGATTTTCCTGGCTTGGTTTTGTTTGACACCATTCAAGTCAAGGACAACTTTGTCATCTGCTGCTATGAACACTGGTTGTGCTTCTTCCTGTACTGGCTGATGCATTTTTAAATCAGTATTTCCAGAGCCTGGTTAAAATTGTATCTCCCTTGATGCCACCCATTGTTGTGGGAACTGTTGCTGTTTTATGTGGATATGCAATTGCCCAAAGTTCTTCTGCAGTCCTTATGTTTGGTTGACAAGTTGTGCATGATTCATCTATTCTTCTCGCTTCTGGTTTTTTCTTTGGATATTTGCTTTCAAGAATGCTTGGGCTTGATGTGGTGTCGTCATGGACCATCTCCATTGAGGTTGGCATGCAGGTAGACTGTTACTTTAGCTGGATTATATTAAAAAATCTATTCTTGAGGGGGAATGGGCAAGTTTTCTTTTCTTGAGGGGGCCAAAATAAAATTTTTCTGGCATCCAAATCAAAAAGTTTTCAACTTGGTGAGACCAAGGATGTTGGCCCTCTTGTGTCCATCACAGGGTGATCTGAGTGATGCTTCATATTTAGAAGTTGATTCCTGCTATGCATTCCCATTTTTCATAAAGATAAGTGATTCCACTTTTCTGTTTATGTTTTAGAACTCTATGCTCGATGTTGTTCTTGCTGCACAGCATTTTGAGAACCCACTGACTGCAGTGCATTTGCCATTTCTAGTGTCTGCCACCCAATCTTTTGTAGTTCCCTGGCTGGAATTTGGAGATGCAGTGTGCCTGCCCAGAATGAGGATTGACATGTCATCCAGATAGTGAAATGCTGTCATTTCATTATTGATATCAGAAATACAGAATGCCTTAATTTTCAGTAAAATTATGATAGACCAAAAATTCATATTTATTCTGCGTTCAAATGCTGGACCTTGCACTATACTTTTTGTGCTTCCTTCCTTATATATAATTATAATTTGGCATGTTGTAATGGATTTAGCTTTTGTAATTTCAGAATGCTAGGCACTGGAAGTTCTTATTCGTTGACCTAATTTTGCAAGACTGATATAATTATGAAGAGGACACTACTCATAGAGCAGCAAGCTGTTCTGAAAGGGTAGGGTAGGCTAGGATGAACAAATTTGTGGCCTTTTAAAGCAACGGTTTGAGGTGATTGAGAGCCTAAATAACAAAAATTGATGCTGTGATTAGTTGTAGCATCAAGAAAACAAGTAAAGGAATGTAAAATTAATAGATTGTATTATTGCTTATTTTTTTACCAAATAATTTCCTTGCTAGCCTTAAATCATTCCCTTTATTTTCTTTTGCTTTGAAGTGCTTGATGTACAAAATCTGATTTGTAATTCAGAGACTCTTTAGTAGACCAATTAAAAAATGTCTATAATGCAGTAGCAACAAGAATGATTCAAGGGCGGTTCAATTTATTCATGAAATGAGAGACAGAGGTTTCGTTGCAGATTTGGCACCATAGCCTTGGTGGTAGATCTGTCATCTAACAAAGACAATCTTGTTCTGAAGGAGTATCTAGACTTATGTGAAGTTCATCAAGGTGAAAAATTGATGTAAGTTTTTCATGTTGCGAAGTCATGTGGCAAATATCAAGTAATTTTTTTCCCGTTTAAGTTATTATTAGTTCAATCTTGTCAAAATCTGGATAATGACGCAAATTACTTGCTTTTTTTCACAGATCATAAAAATCATTAGTTACTTGTTTTGGACCAGCTCTCACCACCTGTGGGTTATACCTGCACAATTAGGATTGTTTGTAGATTTTTCTTATACTTCAGTGAACATTTTCCTACATTTTATGTTTTTGTCCTTTTTGTCTTGAAACAGCTTGTAATGGGGGATGCATTAAAATCTTACATGAGTTACTTTGTGATTGAGTTTATGTCACAAATTTTTTTTTTTTTTTAAATTCTTTTTGTTCCTTGTTTTGTCAATCTTACTGCCTTAGTAATCATAATCTGTCTGAATTTTCATCTTGTAGCTAGTTACATATTGAATGAAATGAAAGAGTAATGTAGGGAATGCAGAGGATGAATTCTCCTTATGTTGGTCCTAATTGTCTTCTGATATTGGCTGTAGACCAACATGATTGCTAAATATTTACAGCTAGAAATTTTATTGCAGCTTGTGCCGCTTGTTTGCATATCCCCTTGTAAACTTATAACTGTTGACTTCTGTATTTGAATAATTGACAACATTGTGTGTGATGCATTAACACTATCATTTACCAAATTCTGCATACCTGTCTGGATATGCCGAATCGAAAAGGTTAACTGAAATGATTTTCATGACGTGCTACTTGTTACACATCTTCAGTTGTTGGGAATTGTAATCAAGGCTCTTATGTATTCTAGCCCCTAATACCTTAGGATAAATATAATGCATGGTATTATGTCTCTGTTTGTCTAGAGTGAATAAGGGCAACTCCATAGCTCTCTTGTGCTGTATTCATCTGGTTTTGTGTTCCCACAAAAGTTGTCTGTTGGCTCCTGTTTTGAAATCTCCTAGCTTAATCCACCTTATGCTTTTCTTAATTGCTGTAAGAAAACAATTGTGACATTAAAATGTGATGTGTTGCAAACAATCTCTCATTCGGATCCTTCTTTGCTAAGTTTTCTGGAAAAATATAGTAGAAGGAAGGTTGGATGCCAGGTTTGCCTTGATGCCAATGCAAAGTAAACATGACTTCTTTGATTTACTTGTTGCTGTTGTGCTGTACACCCATATTTGTACCTTTATTGTGGCTAATCTTAATGCTTTAAAGGGCTGGTAATTCTTGGATGCATAATGGGAAAGATCTCAAAGTACCTTCATAGTAGCAAGCCTCTGTTTTTCCTCCTTTTTTGGATAAAATAAGCCAATGCTATTAGTAAGCCTCCTCTGTCTCTCTCATGTGAATTCCTTTGTGTTGCCTTTGCTATAGTTTCATCAGAATCGAGAAATCGTAGATTTTCAGGAATTGTTTTATTTTTCTCGTGGATGCTGCAAATTGAGGGTCAAATCTATAGATTGTGGACATCTTTCATAGTACTCCATTTACTGATACACATTTCAGGTACAGTTTCAGCAGGCAAAATACCATTCATCTAGAGGAAAAGGAGAAAAGATAGAAGATGTCAAAACCGATGCGATCATGAATGAGGCTGAAGAGTGAAGAGAATAATCAAGCTTTTTTTTAAGGGAAAAAGCAGGAAACTTGTGGAACTAACAAAGCTCAGAAAGGAGAAAGTAAGAAAGTAAATTGTTTAAAGGTGCTTTTCAATTACCCCTTTGCTGATGTGAGCTCACTTCCTCCCACACTCGCACATACTTCTCTTTTCCTTTCTGGCTTTATGCTTAAGGTATAATAAATGTGTATTCTTGGCTATACTCTTCTTATGTGTAACAGATAGTTGAAGCTTCAAATTTCTTGGTTTAGAACTGTAGATGAATAAAATGTTGAGTTTAGTTTAGTGCAATGGGTCTGCTGTTTCGTTACTGATTGGTGTTTTCCTTTTTGGCTAGTGCCTAGTGGGTCTCGCAAGTTGCAGAGGGAAATAATTAAACTTATGGTTCCACACGGTGTGTCAACCTTAGTGGTGGAATTGACTAAACTATACCTTTTTTGTTCCCCCGAAACTTCATCTCAAATTTTCCACACATCTGCCACTCCAAATTCGCAGAAGGAGCTGGTTGTCAAGCGTAATTGATACTTCAAAGTTCCACAGAATTCCAAGAATTTGTATCTTGACAGTGGCAAAGCCCTCTTTGATAGCAAAAAACATGATTTTCATCCCCAAGCCCAGTTCCAAAAACATGAATAATTTGTACCTCAAACTATTATTTTTTTTTTTTTCAATGTGGTTAAAAGACACTTCCCAACACGGTTTTTAATATTCTAAAAATAAATTTTTAGAAATGTTGATCATAAGGGTCGAACCTTGAACTTGACCTATAAGTCAATGTTTGTTTATCAATGGATTATCACTTTTTAAAATTGTGTTTGGTATGGTATTAAAAATTTAAGGAAAAATGTTAAGAAAATAAAATTCAAGAGTGAAGTATTAAGATTGTGTTTGAAATGGTATGCAAAATGCTAGGGAGAACGATCAAGATGCCAAAAACAAAACTAATTTGTGTTTGGTATTATGAACAAGATATAATTTTTTGTTCTTGATTTTATTTGTTCCCTAGTAAAGAGAAAAAAAAATGCAGAAAATATTTGTTTTGACCTAACTTGTCTTTGTAATGTTAATTTGTTATGCTGTCTAAGCATTTTTTTTTTTAACTAGAATTTCTTTTGAATATTAAATAGTTATCACTCAATAATAAAAAAAATTAATTTAAAATTAAATAAATATACATTCATCCTTATATTGTTTTATCTTTATACCTAAAATTTAGAAAATGAGATGGTGGATATATTTTTCTTTGCAAAAATCATAATAATTTAAAGTAAAGAAAAACGATAACTTTTATGTACATAAAACTAGATTGGTAAAAAAATACAAAATTTATTGCACATATTCTAATACGCATAAAATTAATAAATTCAATATATAAAAAACAGTACATATATATAGAGCAATTTTTAGAAAAAGAAAACAAACTGCACTGGAGTTGAGCTCAGACGTGCTTAGGCCACGGCCTAGGTGCGGCTGGGTTGTACTCTAGGTCCAGCAATGTTTACATTTTTTTTTTTTTTGGTGATTTTTGCTTTTATATTTTAAATAATTTTGGGTTCAAAAATTATTAATTCAAATCAATGGCTAAAATTGACAAGTATAGGAGACGGTTTGAAACTTTAAAAATTTGTAAGGATAGAGCTAAGAATAAAATTACATGATATTTTGTGTCTCTGTCTCTGTTTTCACTTTTTGCCTTAACCAGAGTGAATCATTGTTGCTACAAAATCTGCAAATGTATAAAGATGGATAAAAAAAAACCATAACTGCCTTATGCTTTTCATCATGTAGTTGCTCAAGACCTAATATTCATCTCCACAATTTTCCTGCCATTGACAATACAATGGATTTTTCTATTGCTTGGTTCAGACCAGATAGTTTAGATGATTCTCTTCACAGCCTATCTAGTTAACTAAGGAAATTCAGAAATTCTTAACTAAGGAAAGGCAGATTCAGAGAAGTAATAAACAAAGTGGATAGCTATAAACTCATCATGCTTCTCTGACAATGGCAACCAACAAATCAACTACCCTCGTAATGATATCATTTGAATTGAGTTTGGTAAGTTACATGTAATGCTGTCTGGTTTCAATTCATTCTTTGAATTTGAGTTCCTGTTACTGTTAGAATAATTAACATAAATATTGCAGCAGCACTAAAAAACTACTTTGAATAAGAA